TTATTTTTAATGTATGTAAGGTATGTTTTGGTTTTGAATTGAAAATTGAGGGTTTGTATGGTTATGTTTTTAAATTTATTCTTCTAATCTTTCAAAATTAGTTCAAATGAATCTTATATGCGATGTTGTCAAGTGTTCTCCTGTCATTTTTAAGGGACTCCGTTAAAATGAATAATTTTAACAGGCCTCTAAAATTTGTGTACAGAATACCATTTTTGGTTAAAAAAATTAACGGGTCGCTAAATGTTAAATTTTTAAAGGCCTTTAAATTTTAACGAATGTTTTACAGAATAGACCCCTATGTATTTTAATGAAATAATATACAATAATGTACAATATGTATTCACGGAATACTGTACAGTTTATACATTTTGTAGCAGTTAAGACGACGCCATTCAGATTATCACATCAACGCTTTTGTTTGACAAATATGTATGTATTCATTGCAACTTGATTTTTTTTTTTTACCAGAATTGAATTGGCATTATTGATGGTCCGGATTTTTGACTTCCGGATTATCGTCGCTCTACTGTATATATATATATATATATATATATATATATATATATATAAAAGGAGATAGTTTTTTCGACCGGAAAATATTTATTTTTAAGTGAAGATAATATCAGGTTAGCGGTCCTAAGAAATAAAACTCTTTTCCTTACTTGCTCAATATTTCGCCATTGTTTAATAGCTTCATCAGGAGCGAACTACAAGATTTTTAAATGAAACAATACACTAATAAAATAATTTAAAATTACTACTTACAGGATTTGAGTCAATCGAATAAAATTTTAAATAAAAACAACATTACACTTAAACAAACTTTCGGACAGTGGACACTAAAAATTTAACAGGTTGATAAAATTAAAAATAAAAAGTGTAGACTAGAAATAATTATAGTGAGATAAAACTAAATGATTTTTAATATTGTACAGAGTGATACTTAAATTTTATTTAGAATATTACAATAAATGTTGCTTAGTTGGTTTATGTCAGATTTATAATTAATAGTGTTTTTAGTTTTATTAATGTAGTACATTTCCAGAAATAACCTATTCTTGTATTTGTTTTCTTTTCCTAAAATTTTTATCTCCGTATAGTCAAACTCATGTCCCGTATTTATATGGTGTTCCACCGCCGCACATGTATTTTTTTTGGTACGGCAATCGCTTTTGTGTTGAGTCACTCTTTGTCTCAACCATTGTCCCGTTTGTCCTATATAACATCCATTGCACCCTGAACAAGGCAAACTGTAAACAACATTGCTGTTGAATAACGTTGGTGTTTTGTCCTTTACTTTTGAGAATACGTTCTTGATCGTTAGCGGATTGTAAGGAGCAATTTTTAAATTAGGAGCATTATTTTTGAACAGGGGTGTAATACGATGAGTTAACGAGTGTATTAGAGGAATTCTTTTATAAATGAACGTAGTTGGTTTATCTTCATCTGTGGGACCATCGTACAAGTTAGTGTTGTATATTAACTTCTTTAAGATGTTCTTTGGATACCCGTTGTTTACAAAACTGTCAAAAAGCTTCTTGAAATTGTCTTGAATAAAGTTATCATCGCTGATGTGTGAGATTCTATTTTTCATAGCAATTACAGTATTGAATTTTTGATTTTTTGGATGGTTAGAATAAAAGTTTAAAAATCTATCAGATGCTGTTGGTTTTTGGTACCAATTTAAACTTATTTTTTGTGTTTCGGTACGTATTACTTTGGTATCTAAGAAGGGCACAGAACATTCATTCTCAGTTTCTATTGTGAACTGTAATCTATCATTGAAGGAATTAAATATATTCAATGTTGTTTGTATTTTGTTGGCTGGAACAGCGCTGATCATATCATCTACGTATTTATACAAGAAACGTAAATTAAACGGTAACATTGGAATTACACTATCGAGTAACTCATCTAACACTATTGTAGCTAAAATAGGACTTATAGGAGAACCCATTGGAGTTCCAAACTTCTGCCGGTAAAAAATATTATTGAAACTGAAGTAGGTATTATTTATTATGAATTTGGTGAGAATTAAGAAGCTTTCTTTGGATAAAGTAGTGTGTTTTTCAATAATATTCCACCTCTTTTGTAAAATGTCAATTACCAAATCTGTAGGAATGTTGGTAAACAGTGAAACGACATCCAAAGAGATCAGAACATAATTGTCAGGTAAAGTAATACCTCTTACTGAGTTGGCAAAAGAGAAAGAGTCCTGAATATTGTAGTTGGTTCGATCTATTAAAGCATCTTTTAATATGTTGGAAAGAAATTTTGAAATTTCATAAGTAGTGGAATTTATCGAACTGACTATAGGGCGTAGAGGTACATTGGGCTTGTGAATTTTAGGTAGACAATATAATTTAGGAAAAGATGAGTTATAGATGGTTAATTGCTTGGCTTTTTGTTCGGTCAATTCTTTTTTTTGTTTTAAGGTTTTAATTAGGTTATTGTAATTATTTTGAATAGACGTCGTCGGATCTTTATGCATTTTTTCATATGTAAATGTATCACTTAAGAGCAAGTCAGTTTTTTCGATGTAATCATCTTTATCTATAGCCACTGTGCAACCACCTTTATCAGATTGCAAGATATATAACTGAGGGTTATCCTTTAAAAAGGACCTAGACTCTTTAAACAATTTGTTGAAAATAGAGGGTTTCTTGAATTTATCTTGTTGTAAAAAATTGGTAACTATATTTGTTGTTTTACATCTAATCGTATCTTTGATTTCCGTGGGTGCAACATCTATAATGTTTTCAACGTCTGCCAAAAATGTGTCAAGCTTTAAATCAGCCTTAGTACACTCTATTCCAAACTTCGGTCCAAGAGATAGAAAATCCGATATATGTTCGGGAATGTCTGTGTTTGATATGTTTTTAAACCATTTACTGTTACAAATTGTTTAAAGAGTCTAGGTCCTTTTTAAAGGATAACCCTCAGTTATATATCTTGCAATCTGATAAAGGTGGTTGCACAGTGGCTATAGATAAAGATGATTACATCGAAAAAACTGACTTGCTCTTAAGTGATACATTTACATATGAAAAAATGCATAAAGATCCGACGACGTCTATTCAAAATAATTACAATAACCTAATTAAAACCTTAAAACAAAAAAAAGAATTGACCGAACAAAAAGCCAAGCAATTAACCATCTATAACTCATCTTTTCCTAAATTATATTGTCTACCTAAAATTCACAAGCCCAATGTACCTCTACGCCCTATAGTCAGTTCGATAAATTCCACTACTTATGAAATTTCAAAATTTCTTTCCAACATATTAAAAGATGCTTTAATAGATCGAACCAACTACAATATTCAGGACTCTTTCTCTTTTGCCAACTCAGTAAGAGGTATTACTTTACCTGACAATTATGTTCTGATCTCTTTGGATGTCGTTTCACTGTTTACCAACATTCCTACAGATTTGGTAATTGACATTTTACAAAAGAGGTGGAATATTATTGAAAAACACACTACTTTATCCAAAGAAAGCTTCTTAATTCTCACCAAATTCATAATAAATAATACCTACTTCAGTTTCAATAATATTTTTTACCGGCAGAAGTTTGGAACTCCAATGGGTTCTCCTATAAGTCCTATTTTAGCTACAATAGTGTTAGATGAGTTACTCGATAGTGTAATTCCAATGTTACCGTTTAATTTACGTTTCTTGTATAAATACGTAGATGATATGATCAGCGCTGTTCCAGCCAACAAAATACAAACAACATTGAATATATTTAATTCCTTCAATGATAGATTACAGTTCACAATAGAAACTGAGAATGAATGTTCTGTGCCCTTCTTAGATACCAAAGTAATACGTACCGAAACACAAAAAATAAGTTTAAATTGGTACCAAAAACCAACAGCATCTGATAGATTTTTAAACTTTTATTCTAACCATCCAAAAAATCAAAAATTCAATACTGTAATTGCTATGAAAAATAGAATCTCACACATCAGCGATGATAACTTTATTCAAGACAATTTCAAGAAGCTTTTTGACAGTTTTGTAAACAACGGGTATCCAAAGAACATCTTAAAGAAGTTAATATACAACACTAACTTGTACGATGGTCCCACAGATGAAGATAAACCAACTACGTTCATTTATAAAAGAATTCCTCTAATACACTCGTTAACTCATCGTATTACACCCCTGTTCAAAAATAATGCTCCTAATTTAAAAATTGCTCCTTACAATCCGCTAACGATCAAGAACGTATTCTCAAAAGTAAAGGACAAAACACCAACGTTATTCAACAGCAATGTTGTTTACAGTTTGCCTTGTTCAGGGTGCAATGGATGTTATATAGGACAAACGGGACAATGGTTGAGACAAAGAGTGACTCAACACAAAAGCGATTGCCGTACCAAAAAAAATACATGTGCGGCGGTGGAACACCATATAAATACGGGACATGAGTTTGACTATACGGAGATAAAAATTTTAGGAAAAGAAAACAAATACAAGAATAGGTTATTTCTGGAAATGTACTACATTAATAAAACTAAAAACACTATTAATTATAAATCTGACATAAACCAACTAAGCAACATTTATTGTAATATTCTAAATAAAATTTAAGTATCACTCTGTACAATATTAAAAATCATTTAGTTTTATCTCACTATAATTATTTCTAGTCTACACTTTTTATTTTTAATTTTATCAACCTGTTAAATTTTTAGTGTCCACTGTCCGAAAGTTTGTTTAAGTGTAATGTTGTTTTTATTTAAAATTTTATTCGATTGACTCAAATCCTGTAAGTAGTAATTTTAAATTATTTTATTAGTGTATTGTTTCATTTAAAAATCTTGTAGTTCGCTCCTGATGAAGCTATTAAACAATGGCGAAATATTGAGCAAGTAAGGAAAAGAGTTTTATTTCTTAGGACCGCTAACCTGATATTATCTTCACTTAAAAATATATATATATATATATATATATATATATATATATATATATATATAAAAGAAACATACTTATTTTAGACATTAAAATATTTATTTTTACGTCTTGTATAAAAATTAGTTACACAAAAATAAAAAAAAAAATTTCAGTCACGTATAAAAATATTAAAACAATATAAAAGTACCTACCTATCTATTTTAATAGTTATTGTTTTGAACCTGAGCCGTACCCAGGAAACAATAATTTAAGGGCTTGGCTACAGTTCTGATTAATGTCGAGTACTAATTTTTCATCGAGTTCGTGTCTACAGCATGGGCATTTGAACATTTTGAGGTTAAACGATCGTTTTAGACAATTCTAAAAATAAAAATAGTATTAATAATTATTTACCAAGTAGTAAATAAAAACAAAATATAAATTCGAATCATTTAATATTACAATAAATTTTAAAATTTATTGATTCATTGAAACTATTAATACGAGCCCCTTCCCATTTCAGTTGGCCCACCTATTAATATTTTCTTTATACAGTATGGTTCAAATGAAAGGAATAAATTCATTATAAAGGAAGTAGTTGGTTTTTCAAAAAAATGCTCGGACAGGTCAATTTTGTTTACTTAAAGCACAATTTTTTAAATAGAATTCAATTTTCCCCCACTTCCCATTTTTGGGTAGTGACGTCATTGACAATTTTTTTAAATAGTAACCCCAATTTTTTTTTCTTGATTTTGATAGATCTTGCAATTTCCTACTCGGAAACATAATATTTGAAATATCTGACAACAATTTTTTTTTCAATAAAAGTAATTTAAAGATCAGTTACATAAATTGTATTTTATTTTGAAACACAATAAATGAATAAAAGATAATTATTTGTAATTAAGTGCTTCATTTAAAAAAATAATAATAATAATAAAAATAATTTAATGACAATTTCACAAATTCTTTTTTATTGTTATTATTATTATTATTATTATTATTATTTTGTTAGATTAAGCACTTAATTACAAATAATAATTTTTTATTCATTTATTGTGTTCTCAAAATAAAATAAAATTTATGTGTCTGATCTTTAAATGACTTTTATTCAAAAAAAATGTTATGTAAGATATTTCAAATATTATGTTTCCGAGTAGGAAATTGCAAGATCTATCAAAATCAAGAAAAAAAAAATTGGGGTTACTATTTAAAAAAAAATGTCAATCACGTCACTGCCCAAAAATGGGAAGTGGGGGAAAATTGGATTCTATTTAAAAATTTGCGCTTTTATTAAACAAAATTGACCTGTCCGAGCATTTTTTCGAAAAACCAACTACTTTCATTATAATGAATTTATTCCTTTCATTTGAACCATACTGTATGATAATAATAATAATAATAATAAATGCTTTTATTGGCCAAACTAAGTACCTAATACAAAGAAAGAAAAAAAATATATATAAATACAAATAGTTTGCCAAATGGCAGAGTTCAAAATCTCTGATAAAAATCAGAGTTTTGCTCTTCCACTCAACCAGTATTATAATAGACATACCTATACATCTTTCGATGTATAGATGTGCTGTGCATGTTCACTTAATAATTATTCAATCTAGCGCACAATATGGCTTTACGAATATGAGAGAAAAAAATATTGAAAACCCAAAACCGTAAACAACTTAACATCTTAACTTAAAAAATAAAAAAATAAAAATCAGCCAGATGAGTAAGAACCAGTAAGTATATCAATTTTAACATTACAATAATACTATAATAAATATAAAATTTAATTTTATCTAAAAACTATAACTATCGACCTACAGAATTTATTATAACTCTGTTTTTAAACTAGGAAGAGCGAATTGAAAAGACGCATTTACCCAGGGAAAAGTAACTAGATTTGTTACTAAGAGCGAGTTTCGAAATATAGTCGTGTTTAAAATTTATGAAATAATTCTTTATCGGCCTTAGTCGGCGAACGGCCAATGAGCGGTTAAAAAACGAATAAATGTCATAGAAGTAATTTTTTAATTGGTCCCAGACAACGGTCGCAAATTTCACATTATTGTGATCTGAAATGTGTGTCTAAAACGACATGTCACTTTTAAATTAAAGTCAATATGGTTGTTGATTGATGTCAGAAGTACTTTTTTCTTGCTTTTGAAATCGACTTTTTGAGAATAACTATTATCTTTTTAAAATGGATATTAAATATTTAAGAAAATTGGAATATCCAGATGTAGCCAGGTTAGTATAAAATATAAAGATCTGTTTACATTTTTAAGGATAATTTGTTATAGGTATAAAAAGTAAAAGTTAATTAGTGAATGACAAGTGGATCTGCGATGTATTGGGGATGTTAACCCCATTACTTAAGGATTACAATAATAAGCCGGTATACCACTTAACCAAAACACATTTATTCATTCTTAAACCTCGAAATACAATGCTAATTTTCGCTCGCTAGATACTTCCACCGCCACCTATCGGCATTACAAGAAATCTGCCAGTGGCGTATCTTGCGAACTTATACATACACTACAGGATCACACAGTAACTGGTATCTCTTCTATGAGTAATGTGGATATTATGGCTTATTTAGTATTAACACAATGCGCTAGAGGGCAAGTAAAGGCATTCAAAAGTTTACAGGCCTATGAGTCAGAATTTGTTTTGAAAACTGGAACCAACATTTTCATAACACTACATGTCAACATATATTTTTTAAAGTGAACTATTCATACATACCTATGTATTAATTTTAAGTATTTTTAAAATATTTTTTGTGAAAGTAATGTTAACTTATTGTGCCAAATTAAGATTATCCCTAAAGTAGTAGATGGTGTTTTAAATGTTATAACAATTTTGTAAATAGTTTTATTCTATTCTAATAAATAAAATTTGCTTAAATATTTAGTTACATTTTAATCATTTTGGTTAGAAATTCATCAATTTTTAGTTTTAAAAAATCAGTAATAAAATTATTTATTTTTAAAATACTTCGGAATTCATCTCTTCATGGAAATCTCCCATCTTTTTACCTTCAAAAACCAATAATGCATTTTCTACAAAACCTTCAGAATCAGCATGTAAGCATGTAAAATAATAAGGTGTCTTCCCTTTCTTGTAAGGCTTTTCAGGAATCGCTACCTTTAATAGTACTCAGTGTAGGAGGATCCATAATTGTAGATTTTCAATACAATTGCTTACTGAAGAACTATTATTTACGAAATAAAGTAAAAAACTAAGTAATGGATGAGATATCAAATTATAAAATGTCAGAACTGTCAACAATATCAATTATTAGCTGATGTTCATGCTAAAAAGTAATGTGTGAAACTGACTGTAATCTGACCAATCAGAAGGCTACAGAATTGCCAACTTAAATTCAAATCGCTCCTCTTAGTTTAAAAACAGAGTATAGTAATTTTCTATCTAGCATTACATTTTTTAATTTATACTTGAATAATATATGATCTGTGAATAATTTCAAGTCATCGGGTAACCAGTTGTATAACTTAACAATGTTATAAGAAAAGCAGCCTTCAAACAAAACTGATTTATGTTTTGGCATAGTTAGACAACCTCTATTCCTTAAATTTAAATTATGGACGTCCGTTCTGAATCAAATTTTACTATATAAATAAGCTGGTGTTTCAGTAACTATAATTTTGTGATAAAGTAAGCATTCATGTAAAACTCGTCGTTCTGCTAAATTTTACCACTTCAATTCCTTTAAATATTTTGAAGTTGGTGTGCACCTTCTCAAACTATAAATAAGCCGAATACAACAATTTTGTACGACAATAAGAAAGTATTAAAGATTACATGCTTTTTTAAATCATAAATTAATTAACAATGCATTAATTTAGAATTATATTAGAACTAGAACTAGAAAACATTAATTTTTTTATTTATTTTTAAATTTATTAACACATGGAGCATTATTGCATTATTTCAACTTGAATTCAATGCGTTAGAAAATAAACCAAAATCGAAGGTAGCTTTGAAAAAATAACAAACAATAATGCAAATAACTGTCACAAGACAATTTAACCTTTTTTAAGCTAATTCTGTCTAATAAAATGGGTAGAGGAAAAATCATTGACGAAAAAATACGTTTTCTTGTTATAAAACATTGCAATTCTAGAAAATCGAACTCGGAAATTGCAAATATATTAGATTTATCACGATATAGTGTAAGAAATATAGTTAGAAGATACAAAACTACTGGGTCAATCAGCCCAAAGCCCCGTCATATTAGAAAAAGCAAGATTACAAATGCTGATAGACGAGCATTCAGAAGAATTATTGAAACCAACCATCGTGCTAATTACCTTGAATTAAGTGCTCAGTGGAGTGATGCTGTTGGAAAACGAATTTCGAGATCTTCATGTCATAGAGAAGCTCGCAAATTGAGATTTGGGACTTACAAAGTAAGTTTATAATAATAAAAAGAATAAAAAACATGAATTGAAGACACTAAAACAATCAAATATGTTTGCTTAAAATTGACAATTTTGTTACAGGTTAAAGAAAAACCACTACTAACTGCGAAACAGAAAAAGAATCGATTAAGATGGTCAAAACAACATATGAGTTGGACTTCTCATCAATGGGATGCAATACAAGAGTGACGAGGCCCGATTCGAAGTTTGTGTTGGAGATAGCAGAAGTCGAGTTATTCGCAAAAAACATGAAGCGTTCCATCCAGACTGTCTCAAAAGAAAAGTAAAATTTCCCGCATCGGTCATGGTCTGGGGCAGCATGTCATCTAAAGGAATAGGGAAATTGCATTTTATTGAAGGAATTGTAAATACAAATAAATATTTGGACATTTTGGAGGAATCACTTTTACCGACTATGGAATTATATTTGACATCAGGGAAAGATTTTGTATTTCAACAGGATGAAGCAGGGTGTCACACGTCAAAAAAAGCTCTAAAATGGAATGGAAGACTTCGGTGTTCCACTTTTGGAATGGGTTTCTAGTAGTCCTGATTTATCACCAATAGAAACATTGTGGCATGAGATGAAAAAGGTACTTCGAAAACATCCTGCAAAAACAATACCTGAACTTAACAAAAACTTCAAGATATATGGGATTCATTTACACCAGAATTTTGCCAAGGCTTAGTTAATACCATGCCGCAAAGAATTTCAGCTGTAATAAAAAATAAAGGTGACGTTACTCAATAGAATAGAATATAATTTTATTTGTCATAAGTATTATACATAGAAAACAAAACACAATTTTTTAATGTATAAGTACTAACAGACTAGTCAATTTAAAATTAAAACAATATAATACAGATTAATTGCAATACATACACTTAAACTAACACAATAATATATTAGAGATAACAATTAAGGACTAA